TGTGAAAACAAAGAAACAAATCATGTATTCAAATACAACGTACTACCTGATTATTTCAATTTGTGTGTCATATGTTGAATATTTGACTTTTATCCAACACACAATTATTCTTTGACATATATATATATATACTAACATCAAATCTTGGAGAAATACTCTAGCAAATTGGATTTGGCATTGCCTATGTTTTTGTAGAGTGCTTTCTTGTAATGACAGGTCATGATTTGATTCTTCGTTTGTTTATGTCAATTACAAACGTCAAAGGTGCAAAAAATTGCAACTGTAATGTATTTTGAATGACATCATAAATATAGTACTTATCAGTGTAATCAAAGGGATGCTATACACCTTCACACTCCAGCGACCACATACCGCCATCCTATCTCTACCTCACAGGTATGATAATGTATTTCTATAGATTACGATATCAACTTGTTAAAGGCTAGACCTCATCAGTTTGGTACATCCTACATGCTCTGTTGTGCATGAACAATCATCTCTGCCATCAAGTACTGTGCCCCAGTTGTACAGGCAATTTTCAGCTTTATAAAACTCAACCTTTTCAAATAGGATGTGTACACCTTTAAATTTATGGGAACATTTTACTTAGATATGACAGTCTACCCATTACATTAAAACCTGCTTATATAAATCCCAGAGAACCTTATGAATTAGTTCTCCATGTTCACAACAACCCCCAGTGGATCTAAGAAATATCTAATAAGTCCTTAAAAGAACTACATAGGAAATATGTTTAAAACAAACCCAAAGGGACCCAAGGAAGGAATTCTCTACATTTGAATTAAAAGCAACATAAGCTACGGAAGGATATGAAACTTTTGATTAAATTTGATTTTCTTACTTTAAGAATTTGTTTCAGTCAGATTGCAAGTTGTTTTTTAATTGCTAATTTATGCAACTTCACTTTCAACGTTTAATATTCTTGTAACTTCCCTTTTATTATGCAGGTACATATAGACATGAATATATTTCTGTATCCACCCTTTAATAGCTAGACCTTGACCTATATTTCAACATCACAAGGGTCATCATAATATTTAAATAACAAGAAACCTGTCCTATATAGTTGTCAAGTTACCAGCAGTGTTCTAGTTACTTAAGTAACTAACTGAATGGGTTTTACCATTGCTTTTTAAATGCTTTGGTGATTTGTAACATTTTGAATTTTGTAAATTATCACAGTAACACAATTGGACATTTCTACAATTCTATACCACAGAATTTTTTATACATGTATGTAAAAGCTAACAGTAGTGTTAACATGAAATTGGACGCCTTTCAAACTCTGTCATTGAAAACAGGAAAAATCTCAACATACTGGTGTTACTATGAAGAATTCTTATCATCATCACATAAATCATGAATTCAATAGACAAACTGTTTGATGGCGTTTAAATGATGTCAAGTAGACACATTTACTGACAGTGTATAGGGACATCTAAACCATTACACCATTGACAGTGTAGGGGAATACAAAACAGGTAAAAACGCCTAAGGACGCGTGACATCTCATCAGATAGCATTATGTGTAGGATAAAAATTATGTAAATACATGCAAGGCTCCCAGTAGAAAACACCTTTAATATTTCTCATTGTATAAATATATGGTGATTAAATTCAAAGGCTTGAATATTTTGTTTGTAAACAACTTACAAGTTTCTTTTTTGCACTGACCCAAATGATATGTTCAAATATTCAGGCCATAAAAACTCTCCAGCCGTAAGTAATTTCTATTCATTGTATGTATGTGGTTCAACTGGGAATTTAACCTTCTAAACTTTTTTCTCATAACAAACTTTTACTCTCCATGATATAAATAGGTTATCTGAGTAAACATATCAGATGTCTTTGACAGTGTAAACTTAGTAACAAAAGGAAAGGTACCTCACCCTCCTTGGAGCCAGACTCTGCCAAACAAAACCTGTTTTTTCATTTTAAAGAAACCTAAAACACTGTACATTTCAGATCTGTGTGTCGACAACAAGCTGTTATCATTATCAAATAACAAAAACGGAGTAGTTGAAAATGGGATTGAGGCCATGACAACAAATTCTATTAAATAATAATTAAAACAAAGCAATTAATCTGAACATTTCTTAAATAAACTAAAACAATCTCCCTTTTTTACATTACTACAGCAGATTTTTCCCTACAGACAGGAAATCTTCGTCTAATATAGTGCTGTTTTGCATGCTTATCATCATGATTTATCAGTCGATTCATATTTTCTAATTACAGTTATTCATTCATTATTCCTATCGATTTAATTATCAGTAGGCCTCAGGTAAAATGTTTGATCCTTAACAAGAAATTTCTATCAATAATACATCTCATCTGTCCTTACATGCTAAGTTAAATTTGACACATGTATGAACTGTACATACATCAATTCAAATTAAATACTAACTTAATTAACACTGAATAATCTGACAAGCTGTGTGTTTTGATCTCACTCTATCAATTTCTATGCAGACTGACCCTGTGTAAACCAAAAATGTGTTCCATATTATGTACACAAAATAAAGGGATCAGAGAGATATGGCAAAAACTGGTTACAGTAAAAGTGTGATTGAATTAGAATGACCCTAAGGTAATGAAGGAAGCTACATGTAGCTCTGCTGACCTGCAAATGAACAGGTTTAAATACATGAGATAGGTAAATTGACCACTGTGGTGATTTAACCTACCTATGTTCAGGTAATGTACCAATAAACATGAGTCTCCAGGGTTATATAAACCATCAGTGTCCCAACCAGTATTTACCTGGCTGTCAGACACCTAAATAACTGTCCTAATGTTACCAGAGAAACATGTTATCTAATACCTACACCAGTCAGTGTCCTGTAGGAATCCACTACAAACTGACCGGTACAATACAACACCATGACATCAGGCCATATTCAAGGCTGCAAATGAAACAGAACTATGTTCATTGCAATTTTCAGAATGGTTGAAAATATATAAACTAATTTGGTTCTTTATTCGTTACCTTCAATAAAATTATTCTCCTGAAGAGCTGTAAAGCAGCGAAATGCCTTGGAAATCTGTCTTTTTGTGATTTTTTCATTTTCATATATTTTTCCTGTCGCACGGATTCCAATCAAATTTTCATATAAACTAATTTTAATATATATATATATAAACGGCCCCTGTCTAATCTGGATCCCTGTCTTAACCAACAGTGATCTGTGGTCCCGGCATATTCCCTATATAATCATAGTAGTTAAACCCTACATAAACCAGACACTGTCTATTCCGAAAACCGACGTTGTTTCACAAATGTTGGTATAGTAATCCATGTAAAAACAACCTGTTCATTCCGGTCCTGACATTTCTCTTGGCTGGCTACAATCTAAAGCAAACAAATTATAAACAAATCAGCGCTATCCAATGTAGGGTCGCCCTTCATTTGTATTATAACCTGTATATTTTGTAAATAATTAAACGTTGCAATTGATCTATTTCTCTGTTGTTTATGTTAACACACTTGCAAACAGATGGTATGCAAAACACTACATTTTTGTATTTTCAAAAAATGACATACCGACCATGTTAAACCGGACACCTGTGTAAACTGGACAAATAGTTTGGTCCCGGTGACATCCGGTTTAGAGAGGTTATACTGAATATAAACGACTACTCATTCCACATCTGCATTTAACTGAGACAATATTATAAGTTCATGGTTTGATTTGTTTGTGTTTTACGTCTTATTAACAGCTATAGTCATTTAAGGATGTGCCAGGTTTTGGTGGTGGAGGAAATCAAAGCCGGAATTCCCTGAGAAAAACCACTGACCAATGGCCAGTACCTGGCTACTGCCCCACATAGGTCTCGAACCCGCGACCTAGTGGTGGAGGGATAGTGGTAGCAGAATGTGAGACGCCAGAACCACTTGGCCACCGCAGCTCCTTAAGTTTATGGCATCAATATATAGGTCTCATACTGTACATTTGAGGTGTGCTGTTTTATATTTCCCAACAAAAATACTGCAACCAAATTCATTGTAAATGATATCATCAATGAATTATGGTTAATTTTGATCCGATATACTAAACTACACAATTGTCTAGACTGTTTAACCTTTTGTCAGCTGAAAGATAGCATACTTGCCAACGTTTTAAAATTTCCTTGGATGAGATTCTACACGCTCAAAATTAAAACAAATATAAAATGAGTGTATACACCCACTAGAGGCAAAATAACCCTTTAAAATGACATATTTTGAGGTGGTTTTTTTCCAGATGAATTCATTAGATCTTAGAATATAGGAACAGGTAAGCAAATTCGTTGGTTGAAAACACTCAATTTAAGGGTCCAAAATCACTAGTCTTCTTCCTAAATAGGGAGAGTTGGCAAGTAGGAGATAGTCTCCAAGGAAGAGTCCCAATAAGTTCAGCAACTTTCATTTTCTGACATGGAGTTGCTTGCATATTAACTGGAGCAGAGAGTTATATATGGAATAAATCCATGTTTATTATAATTCCCTTTTTCATAAAAACAAGTCTATCACAGGGATTTAATTTGCAGACCACTTGATAAACCAGGTAGCTTATACTTTCTGCAACATTGATGGGACTTATTTCAGCATCTTCCAACTGCCGAGTTATTAGGATTGGGATATGTTGGAATTCATTTGGTGGGAACACTTTTCCATAATTTTTATTCATAAATCTTGTACCAGCAATAACACTAGGTGAAACATCTTATTGCAGAGTTGTGCCCCATATGTCTCAAAAGGCAGAGTTTGGAGGTAGGGTAAGGGGAAGGAAGGGGTAAAGTGGATGATAGACACAGAAATAGAATCAGGGAAGGGGTAGGATATGATACAAGGGAGGATGATGAAAAAGCCTAGGCTGTTATTCATCATGATGTTTAATCTATACTGAAGATGTGAAACCTTGGCCATCAGATTGACAGAACACAGAAAGCAAAGTGTTAAGAATATATAATACATGGAACTTATAATAAAAGCTTACTTTTTCATTTTCTTTGAATTGTATCGCACTTGGTAGGCTGCTTGGAACAGTTTCTCAGGCTCTTGTTCATATTTCAAAGGTACTTCCTTCTGGAAAAACTGTAAATATAAACAGTTATTTAAACCGACTTTTGTAACATGACCCTTTAAAACCTCTCAAATTTATTATTAAAAGAATGATTTATTGAAGACACTGAACATATTTGACATGGAGTTAAATCTTGAGTTATTCTTCCTGTTTCAACTTCGGATATCCTATTCAAATCTAACCGAGTTACTCCCCCTCTTTACATTGACAAAATCTTTCATTGTCTTTTAAGTATATCAGAGTTACCTCCCCTAGACTCCCAATTCATTGCTAGGATAATATATAATCAAGTTTCTTGAAAAGAGTGGGAGATATAACTGTTTATATTAACATCCAAGCAATAAACCTAAGCATTAAATGCATTGATATTAATATCAAAAAAATATTTTTTCTGCAAGAAATCTAAAGCATACATGATTGCATTCTCCATATTATTGCTTTTTTATGAGTATGAAATATTGAATATTGTGAATGATTTGTTATAAATAAATAAGATCAGGATGTTTCAATCTCTATCTTACAAAATACTTTCATCAATTTAAAGCAAGGTTGATTGAAAAATAAATACCACTTGTCAGAAGTCAAAATATATATCTGAATCTTAATTGTTATTAAAAAGTACATAAACATCAATTAATAATGAGAAGCATTCATTTGATTAAATAGGGTGTGTTTAAATTAATCAGATATTTTTGCATACTTGGTGCTAGGTAAAAACTGCACGATTAACAGAAATGCTTATGAGCGTAGTAAATGAAGGTTACCTTGAGCATGCCTTCCATGTCCATAGTCTTTAGCACATCCTGACTAGTCTGTAATATTGCAATCGCCAGTCGGAATATAAAGTCCATACCCTGAAGGGAGAATACAGAAAGTCAACTACAATTTTGATTCAACAACTTTAGAGAATTTTAAACATAATATATTTATATATATACTAAAGTAATTTGTTTTGTAAACACCATAAGGTAGATGACTTATCTTTAACACAATTCGACCAAAATTTAGTTAAGAATAAAGTATAGATACTGGCTTACTGCCACTTGTATCCTCCATTACAGGAGTTCCATACCACCGTTAAGTAAGTACTACCACTTGTATCCTCCATTACAGGAGTTCCATACTACCGTTAAGTAAGTACGTAACCCCTTGTATCCTCCATTACAGGAGTTAAGTAAATACTACCACATGTATCCTCCATTACAGGAGTTAAGTAAATACTACCACATGTATCCTCCATTACAGGAGTTCCATTCTACCGTTAAGTAAGTACTACCACTTAACGGTGGTATGGAACTCCTGTAATGGATGATACATGTGGTAGTACTTACTTAACAGTAGTATGCAACTCCTGTAATGGAGGATACAAGTAGTAGTACTTACTTAACGGTAGTATGTATCCTCCATTACAGGAGTTAAGTAAATACTACCACATGTATCCTCCATTACAGGAGTTAAGTAAGTACAACCACTTGGATCCTCCATTACAGGAGTTCCATACCACCGTTAAGTGGTAGTACTTACTTAACGGTAGTATGTATCCTCCATTACAGGAGTTAAGTAAATACTACCACATGTATCCTCCATTACAGGAGTTAAGTAAGAACTACCACTTGTATCCTCCATTACCGGAGTTCCATACTACCGTTAAGTAAGTACGTAACCCCTTGTATCCTCCATTACAGGAGTTAAGGAAGTACTACCACTTGTATCCTCCATTATAGGAGTTAAGTAAGTACTACCACATGTATCATCCATTACAGGAGTTCCATACTACCGTTAAGCAAGTACTACAAACTTGTATCCTCCATTACAGGAGTTCCCTCCTTCCGTTAAGTGAGTACTACCCCTTGTATCCTCCATTACAGGAGTTCCCTCCTTCCGTTAAGTGAGTACTACCCCTTGTATCCTCCATTACAGGAGTTAAGTAAGTACTTCTTTAACACAATTCGACCAAAATTTAGTTAAGAATAAAGTATAGATACTGGCTTACTGCCACTTGTATCCTCCATTACGAATGTTCCATACTACCGTTAAGTAAGTATTACTACTTGTATCCTCCATTACAGGAGTTGCATACTACTGTTAAGTAAGTACTACCACATGTATCCTCCATTACAGGGGTTCCATACTACCGTTAAGTAAGTACGTAACCCCTTGTATCCTCCATTACAGGAGTTAAGGAAGTACTACCACTTGTATCCTCCATTATAGGAGTTAAGTAAGTACTACCACATGTATCCTCCATTACAGGAGTTAAGTAAATACTACCACATGTATCCTCCATTACAGGAGTTAAGGAAGTACTACCACTTGTATCCTCCATTTCAGGAGTTAAGTAAGTACTACCACATGTATCCTCCATTACAGGGGTTCCATACTACCGTTAAGTAAGTACTGCCACTTTTATCCTCCATTACAGGAGTTCCATACTACTGTTAAGTAAGTACTACCACATGTATCCTCCATTACAGGAGTTAAGTAAGTACAACCACTTGTATCCTCCATTACAGGAGTTCCATACTACCGTTAAGTAAGTACGTAACCACTTGTATCCTCCATTACAGGAGTTAAGTAAGTACTACCACTTGTATCCTCCATTACAGAACTTCCATACTACCGTTAAGTAAGTACTACAAACTTGTACTTGGTTGATGAAATGACACAACTCCTGGAGGTACACAATAATGCAATAATAAAATATTTCAAAACCCTGATTCTAAATTTGCATAAGGGAGATAACCTTGTAACAAAATCACAGGGATCAGGGCTATGAACTTATACAATTCTTTATAGTATATGGAAGGTAGTTTTTATTCTAACTGTACAACTGATACACTGACGAGTAAGAAACAGTGAACATTACCTCTGAGATAAACACATCCATGACCCGACACGCCATGGACATGGGGAGCGTTGTAGAGAAAAGGGTAAGAAACCAGGACGAAGCATACATGGAGGTGTAGAAACCCTGGGTCTGGAAGTGTAGGTACAGGGTCGGCAGAAACTCCTGGAAAACACAGTAACAACATTGTAACATTCAAAACATGAAACAGAAATAAACTTTCATTCCTGGAGCAAAGACTGTTAAGGAACAATTTGATCAAGGAACATGTTATTGAATGATAAGGACTTGCAGCTTTTATGTCAATTTTATGGTGTATTTTTCAAAGTTTTAAGAGATCATGCATGAAACTTTTAAATCAAAATTAATGAAATGCTATAATTTTAATGTTGGCGTTTAAAGATGTTTTTTTGTATCATCTGTAAGAAAGTACAACAACATCAGATTCTATAGTTTATCAACGTAAAAAAAACAAGTCGATTCCATTGTACCTTACTATTCAACAGCTTGAACTTGACCTTCAAAGCAAATGTTATTTCATCAGCAATCATTTCAATCTTTTATCCCAATAACTGTGTCTACATTGGCATAGAAAAACTATAATATGCATGACAGAAAGTCATCAGGAACATACACACTAGCACTGGAACCTGTAAAACTGTTCCAGAAATCTATTGTAAGCATATTCATTTCAGTGCCTAGATTTTACAGATGGACAGAATATAGATTAACAAGGACTAACTCTATGTTCACCCCACTAAACCATTTTCTTCTTGGGTTTATCAAAACAAATCTGCTTAATGTAGAATAAGCATTCTTATTCAAGCATGAAATGGGCAAATATTTATTCTAAATGTGACTAACGCATTCCACTAAACAAAACAGAAAGTGTTCATAAATATCTGCAGATTACTATATACCAGGAAAGTTTTGCCCTACACCCAGTGCTAACTTCACCATTCACAGTTAACTTCCACGTTTATTATGTTGTTTACCAAAGTTTGCTCTAATGATAAATTTGCCCTCGCTATGGAAGGCATAAAAGGCGAAAGTTAAACAGCGGAGAAATTTCCTAGTATACAGATTCAAGACAATACCACTAGAACCAGGAATCAACACTATTACAATGTTTATCTTGGACAATATCAATACAATATATTGCAATGGTTACATTTTACAATGATGTAGGTACAACCATGTCTGTCTGTACTGTATTCCTCACCTGTATCAACCACTCCAGTTTGTACATACATAGGCCCAGCTCTGCCATGCTGGGTTTAAAAAGTTCTCTGAGACGATAGTCCTGCATTAGTTGTACTAGCACCGCAAACGTTTCTTCCTCGGGCATCTACAATGGAACATAATTGAAACAATCAACGAAAAATTGATGAATGATATAAAAGTTTCTATCTGATCAAAATGTTTTCTTTGATTTTTCTTGCCATTAAAACAAAAATAATTTTCTATCATTGAAGACAAGATTTAAACTTTTGTAAATGAGTTTGTAATTATGTTCCGTCTGGAAAGTGTCTTTTTCAGACTACCAAGTCTAACAGTGTGAAAAATGCAATGAGCCCAGTCAGAATTCAAATCCAGGTCCTCCAAACTACTACTGGGAAACTAAGCAATATGGTCCCTGGAGATCCACCTAATTATCCTTCTTCTATGCTTGTGTCCATGAAGACAACACTATCTACAACATAGGTTCAGTTATCCCCTTACCAAGTACACAAAGTACTTGACACAACGGTTGGTCACAGGCACTGATTTGTAACAGTTAAAAAGCCATGGGCAGGTCTTGGATTTGAATCCGGAACCTCTGAACTGAAGATGGATCAAACATTCTACCAAATGATCTTTGGAAGCCAAATATTACAGGAGTACCAGGATGCAACAGCAAAGACCTGAGATTCAAATTCATAATCTCCAAACTCAGACCAACAGAGCTATCAGGTGATAGGCAATCGACCTATAATGGAGAAAATATTCCTCTTAATTACTTTAATACTGCCTCTTCCACCTTAACTTGAGAAAGCAAGTGTGCGGAACTGAATCACTTCCTGTGGCAATGTTTTTTTATAAGTCTGTGAGTCTTGTTACCTGCATGAGGAGAAGTCCAACAATAAAGCCACTCCCCTGGCAGTAACCGACCTCTCTATCATGTAGAGAGTACGCCTGAAAAGTACAAGGCAAAAACATGTTAAACATGTAAGAGAGTAGCTTTTAAATTGGAAATTGGGTTGTAGTTTAAATTGAAATTGGATTATTATCCAAGTCTGAAATTAGGTTGTTATTAGAGGCTGAAATTAGGTTCTTATCTAGGTCTAAAATTTAATTGATATCAAAATTTAAGATTGGGTTGGTATCAAAGATTAAGAATGGGCTGTTATCTAAAATTTAAAAATGTGATGTTATCTATGTTTGAAATTTGATTGGTATCTAAGTCTGAGATCAGGATGTCAACAAACTTTGAGTCAGGACATACCAGTGAAGCGTATGTACACAAAGGTGTAAAATATGTAGCCGAATCGACATCGATTTGTGCATAACTCGTACATATTTTACACCTTTGTGTACATATACGCTCCATTGGTCATTTGTCTGATGAAGGTGACAGAGTACATTATAAACCGTATTAGTCATTAAACATCCCATATAAACACTTATTGGTTGTGCTACATGAATCTTTTCATCATTCTCTAACACTTGAAATACAATACTACCTTCATAACATTGAAAAGACTCTCCTGACCAAGCCCATCCTTTTCCTTGAAGAAATCCTGTTCGGGGAAAGTGCGAGCAATATCTCGCTTGATAAGCTTTTCACTGGGGGAACTGTCCTTTAAGTATTCCACATACATTTGTCGGTGGGGCGACTCATTCACGTTCAACAACAGCTGCCAGGCTAGCCCCCGGAAGTGATGTGGGATTCCCTTCCGAACCAGGTCCTTAAGTTAGTAAACAAGCCAAGTAACATCTATATATTTGAAAACTTTTTAATATATAAATTGAATATTAGAATTTCTAGGTAATCCTCAAAGTTATAATTATAATAATTCTATTACAGTTTTCCTTTAAAATGATTGATCATTCATTTTGCATATCATTTGTCAGAACTTTTTTGGCCTTTTAGACACCAAAATCAATTTTAAATCCATGAATCAACACAGAGAATTCATTAAAATGTTGTTGACATTTCATTCTGTAATAGATATCAATACTTTATAATTGCAAAAGCTGCAGGACATAGTGTGCTTACCTTGATATATTGCTGTTTCTTTTTGGCATTTTCCCAGTCATTGACAAGTTTACCCCACACATCCCACAGGTTCCCTGATGTGGACAGGTCTGTAAATAACCAGAGATCCTCACTAAATATGTCATAATTCATAAAAAATAATTTTCAATCCCTTTGCAATATATGCAAATAATATGACAGAATGGATTCTCTTATGACACTGACATTTGCTGAAGAGATTTATAGAAACTCTGGTTTGAACCTAATGGATACCACAGGCAGGACCAGGTAATGTGTTAAAAGTCCAAATACAACCGTACAGTTAACCATCTTTGGGTGACCTACACAGGAAACTTTGAATTTCTTTGAGCATCATTGTTTTAATGTATTAATAGTGCTGTTTACATACTGTTCTCCTCGTCTGTCTGCTGTGTACTGTAGTGACTGTTGGAGGACGTAGAGGACTGCACACTAGACCCCGATCCCTTCCGTGAGTGACCGGGGGTCGGAGAGGGCGCAGAGTTGAGGGAACTGCATGCTTTCTGATCTGCCTCTAACAGCCTGTAAAAAGTGTATAATTACTTTGTTAAATCTTCTGTAGCCTTGGGTGTACCATAGCATATAAGTTTCTCATGAATACGCACATGCATCCATGTATAACAGATAGACGTACGTACTAGTAATATAGCTACAATGCCAAGAGAATATTTACGTACCTTTTGTACCTCTTCAAAAAGACCTCATAAATCATTTAGATATTTCTTTAATAAGAAAAAGATTAAGATCCTTACTTTCTGACAATGACGTCAAACTGATGTCATACTGATTGTGACCTTATATTTCATTACAGTGTACTCAGTTTTGGGCAGTATTATTTTGTCATAGGCAAAAGAACAAATATATCTGAATACCACAAATTAAATGCTCTTTAAACTTTTCTGTAAAGGTTTAAAAGTCTACAATTTGCTTACCACAATTGCAATGCACCTCTATTCACACTACATAGTTATGTACTTATTATCATATGCATGCATGATTACATATTTTTGCTCACTATCTCTGGTAGAGACCTTGCTTACAGTTCACTATCACTGGTGGGGACCTTGCTTACAGTTCACTATCACTGGTATAGACCTTGCTTACAGTTTACTATCACTGGTGGAGACCTTGCTTACAGTTCACTATCACTGGTAGAGACCTTGCTTACAGTTCACTAACACTGGTGGAGACCTTGCTTACAGTTCACTGGCACTGGTAGAGACCTTGCTTACAGTTCACTATCATTGGTAGAGACCTTGCTTACAGTTCACTATCCCTGGTAGAGACCTTGCTTACAGTTCACTAACACTGGTGGAGACCTTGCTTACAGTTCACTATCTCTGGTGGAGTCCTTGCTTACAGTTCACTATCACTGGTATAGACCTTGCTTACAGTTCACTATCAATGGTGGAGACCTTGCTTACAGTTCACTATTACTGGTATAGACCTTGCTTACAGTTTACTATCACTGGTGGGGACCTTGCTTACAGTTCACTATCACTCGTATAGACCTTGCTTACAGTTTACTATCACTGGTGGAGACCTTGCTTACAGTTCACTGTCACTGTAGGAGACCTTGCTTACAGTTCACTATCATTGGTAGAGACCTTGCTTACAGTTCACTATCATTGGTGGAGCCCTTGCTTACAGTTCATTATCACTGGGGGAGACCTTGCTTACAGTTCACTATCATTGGTGGATACCTTGCTTACAGTTCACTATCACTGGTGTAGACCTTGCTTACAGTTCACTATCACTGGCAGAGACCTTGCTTACAGTTCATTATCACTGGTGGAGACCTTGCTTACAGTTTACTATCATTGGTGGAGACCTTGCTTACAGTTCATTATCACTGGGGGAGACCTGGCTTCCAGTTCACTATCACTGGGGGAGACCTTGCTTACAGTTCACTATCATTGGTGGAGCCCTTGCTTACAGTTCATTATCACTGGTGGAGACCTTGCTTACAGTTTACTATCATTGGTGGAGACCTTGCTTACAGTTCACTATCATTGGTAGAGACCTTGCTTACAGTTCACTATCATTGGTGGAGCCCTTGCTTCCAGTTCACTATCACTGGTGGAGTCCTTGCTTACAGTTCACTATCTCTGGTGGAGACCTTGCTTACAGTTCACTAACACTGATTGAGACCTCGCTTACAGTTCACTATCACTGGTGGAGACCCTGCTTACAGTTCACTATCACTGGTGGAGACCCTACTTACAGTTCATTATCACTGGTGGAGACCTTGCTTACAGTTCCCTAACACTGGTAGATACCTTGCTTACAGTTCACTAACACTGGTGGAGCCCTTGCTTACAGTTCACTATCACTGGTGGGGTCCTTGCTTACAGTTCACTATCACTGGTATAGACCTTGCTTACAGTTCACTATCACTGGTGGGGACCTTGCTTACAGTTCACTATCACTGGTATAGACCTTGCTTACAGTTCACTATCAATGGTGGAGACCTTGCTTACAGTTCACTATCTCTGGTGGAGTCCTTGCTTACAGTTCACTATCACTGGTATAGACCTTGCTTACAGTTCACTATCAATGGTGGAGACCTTGCTTACAGTTCACTATCATTGGTGGAGCCCTTGCTTCCAGTTCACTATCACTGGTGGAGTCCTTGCTTACAGTTCACTATCTCTGGTGGAGACCTTGCTTACAGTTCACTAACACTGGTAGAGACCTTGCTTACAGTTCACTATCATTGGTGGATACCTTGCTTACAGTTCACTATCACTGGTGGAGACCTTGCTTACAGTTAATAATGTATTTAGTAAGCTATACATGTAATTACTAGCTATATTACACAGTAGTGCAGTACTAGATACTATAGCTAGCAAATGTGAAGTAGTTTTTTTCAACTATTTTCACTACACTTTATGAGCTAGTTCAGTGAATGAGAGATATATATATATATATATATGTAAGGTTAAATTCAAATTCTCTTTATGTGCTTGCTTGAACTTCCTACAAGCTTGCAAAAATGTTTCAAATGATTAGTGCATTGTATATAATTACTTAGATTATGACAAGATAAAGTGGAAATGAGCTTGTTGTGAGCTGTTTTGTAAAGCTTAATTGACAGTGATTTGTTTTTGGGTATATACGTAGTTGCAGTGTTCTACAAATATATATTCAATTAATCCTAGCAGCTATACTAATTATCATTGTCAGAAAAGAAATTTAAAGACCGAACATTTCTTACGGATTACTACTATCTTACTTATAGAAAGTATACTGCAGTAATTATTGTTGTATCATTCTGTTCCGGATACCAGTTTAACTCCATAACATTTGATGAATGAGTCACTAAATTGGTTGTTAGCTAAAACGTGCTCAACACATCTTTATAGTTGCCGTTTTTACCTCAAGGGTTTAAGATTTGATGATCATCAAGTGAAAATAAACAGACTAACGTTTCTCATGAATACACACTTACATGTAGTAATTAAATGGGAGAAGTGACAACACATGTCTCTATGTATAACATGTTGACGTACTGTGGCTACACTGTCAACGGAATCTCTAAGTGCTGATTACATTAAAGGTAACATAAATAATACAGACACCTGCATACAGGTGTATCTAGTATGGTGTACATATTTATACTCAAGCTTGTACCTGCCACATTGTATTGTAAAATACATGTAGGGCAAACATATTACGTCTTTCATACCTTTAGCCTATACGTATACATGGATATCTGAGATAAATGTATACATGGATATCTGAGATAAATGTATTTATTGTAAGGTAAACATGAATTGTGTCTACCAATACCTGTTCTACCTCTGAATAACAGATATACCAGCATACACTGTACAATAAACACGCTGCATCTTATGGATCTACCTAAATATCACATGTTAATGCTGTATGGGCAAATAAGTGTCTTCCATACCTAGGGCTGCAACGATAGGGTATATATCGTGCGATGATATCGAGGTATTTTGAATACGGAACGATACACAAATTTTTTTGAGAGGTAATACGATGCCCCTGCGATATTTTCCAGATTTTGTTGTTTCTGCATTTAAGTAAAAAGATGACTGGACAACATCCACTTGAAGCTACTTGTCAAATTTATTCCAGTTTACTAGTTTCAGCTTATTAGATAAGCCGTCATCAGAACAATATTTACAATTCAAAACAGACCTAAAGTCTGAAATGCGGTGCCTCTGTCTGGCAACGATCACAAGGTGTAAATAGTGACGTCACAAGAGAGTGACGTCATAGTTCATGAGTCCATAATTTGGCAGACTTTTCCAAGCTAACACATGACTATGGCAGAGTTAATGATGAATGCATTGTGAGTAGTAAATAAAGATCATGATAACAATGATGGATAGTGTTGACTTATCATTACTTGAAAATGGATATTGTAAAGTACATGTATACTACACTAGTGATAATTAGATAACAGTGTCCATTGGATAAATGGTGCTAAAGTGTCCAGGTAGGTAAACAGATGGATTAAAGTTCCGTATGCTTCGCCAGTACCACTCTGAAGATGGGTTTTACGTCTCTACCGTGGTTCCAGGTCTCCTTCAAGGTAGGTGGCGGTTTGGTTTCACTTTTGGAATTACGGAAGATGGGAACGGTAGATATATTTGGTTTCGTATCATTCACCCTTTCAAACCACCTAAGAATTTCCGGTTGGATACTGAATTTAGTATACTCATATCCGTTCCAACATGGCAAGTGACAGCTCCAGCTTGGCAAACACGTCGAAAGACGTGAATTGTATGAAACTTTTTAAATCATGCCCATTTTTGACGAAGTCTATTTCAAGTTGTAATATTGCCATTAAGAATTTGCAACATATCTTTTCGCTTTGCTTCTACTGTTACTATTTGTATCGTGACCACAAAATCGCAATATGTATATCGTATTGTCATGTTAGTGTATCTTTGCAGCCCTATCCATGCCATATACTGCCTACCTGGACATCATACAAACATGTAGACTGAATGACAAACATATTTCTACCTTAATTACTATGGCGTACCTGGATATCATACATATATTTTATGACAGAGATGTGTGTACCAAATTTACCTTCAGCCTACCTGCATCCTACATACATGTATACTGTATGACAAACCCTTGTTTCTACCTTAATTACCACAGCCTACCTGGATATCAGGTACATATTGTACAACAAACTCAGGTCCAGTCTTAAATAATCCGTAGTTCCGGCTGATCTTGGATCCAAATATAACCTGTTATCTATAAATGCACCAGCTGTTTCCCCGTTGATGTTGTTATACTACACAGACAATTTTATGACCAAATATTCACTGTTTCCTGTTGCTTAGATCAATGAAGTTCACAGGTTTCTCCTGTGTGTGAAGTGTTTCCTGTGTTATGCTGTGTTATGCTGTGTTGTTTGTACAGAGTGTCCCCCACTCTGACATCATCCTGACAGAGCTTGACGTAAGTTAGTATCAGGAATACTAAGTAAGGTAAAACAAAGATTTATAACAGGTTCACCTTGTCATCACTCAGCTGTTATTGTGCTGATGACGTGATGAATATTCTTACAGTAATTAAATGTCTAATTAGTAATTCAACTCATTACTAGAAACATTTTGTTTTGTCTATCAACATATCATTTCTTAATATAATAATAAGTGGTATGTGCCAAAAGGAGTCTCCAGAGGGATGAAACCCCAAACATAAAGCCCTTAGTCCATTAATTTGAACTCTTCAAGAGAAACGTTTCCTCCACAGGTGTTGGACACACAGCTAGTATGATGTGTATACCAACAATATACAACAATAGATCTAAAAGGAATCTTGGCACTCAACATCGTAAGAATTTCATGTAGTCCAGGCAAGATTGCTTTAAAAAAAAAATACCCTTTTTATTATCTGTGGGATAGAGAGCCATGTGAACACTAAATGCATCTCTGGATAACTAAATTTGATCAAAAGTTCATACTGATGTGTATAGCTTTGCTCATTCAAATTATGGTTGTCGTTTGACCTACCAGTACTTAATGAGTAACATGGGGAAACTACATAAGAAATTTTAGAAAGATCTGTCAAGTACTTATTGACAAATAAGGCTACATGATGGCTATACATGCCTATCATGGTTTTTTAACCGGTCACAATATAATTTACAATTGGTGATTCAACATCGAAATTTGACAATTTTTTTAAGGCCAAATTATAGGGGGAAAATTTAATATAGTGAAAATAATACTTTTTATAAAAATAAAGGGACATAATAATTAATTTAACTAATATTGACCTCCAATGATCCTGAGGAAGTCTGTGTCAAACATTTGGTAACATTATAATCACCAGCCTTAACCCAATTATGCCATACAAAGTAAAACTAAAAGGATCAAGTTATAATACATTTCTTCCTGACTTATTTTTTTTTTATGTTTTAATAATTATGGTAATAATTTTAGGTTCTTATATACCACTTTATCTAAACCTAGTTCGTAGGTCGTCTCAAAGCAGTTCACAAATTAGTATCCATGGTTATTGTACCTAAAGTACCGGCCCGGGTATGTTAAAATATCGTGATAATGTTACACCGCCATTGTTATAAACTGATTTACCTATTAGCGATCTCCAACTTGGAGAGGAGGTCAGTCTCTGTATCATGACCATTGTCCGAGGGAGGCTGGTCATTGACAGACATCTAGCTGGTCTGGACCTCTAATCAAGACCTCTAAACAATCTGGTCATCTTATGTCAGCAGACAAGGTCTGATGGCACCACCAGATCTGTAACGATAAAACAATAACTTATAACATTTTACACCACCAACACCAGATCTGGAACGATAAAGCAATAACTTATAACATTTTACACCACCACCACCAGATCTGTAACGATAAAACAATAACTTATAACATTTTGCACCACCAACACCAGATCTGTAACGATAAAACGATAACTTATAACATTTTACACCACCAACACCAGATCTGAAACGATAAAACAATAACTTATAACATTTTACACCACCAACACCAGATCTGAAACGATAAAACAATAACTTATAACATTTTACACCACCGACACCAGATCTGTAACGATAAAACAATAACTTATAACATTTACACCACCAACACCAGATCTGTAATGATAAAGCGATAACTTATAACATTTTACACCACCAACACCTGATCTGTAACGATAAAACAATAACTTATAACGTTTTACACCACCAACACCAGATCTGTAACGATAAAACAATAACTTATAACATTTTTAAACAGAAGCCGACAATGTCCAATAGCAACGTACAGCATGCCAAATTCTCTAATAATGAAAAACTTGTAGATAAACCATCTTACGTATGACAGCAGACAATGTCTGGAGGCAGGTACCAGATATGTACATGTAATGATTAAAACAGAAACTTTAAACAATTCATATTTATACTGTTCTGAAGACCCGATGTAAAAAAAGGTGTGTTCTCTCCTTGGAGCCATATAACCTAGCTTACTGGACATGTTACACAATAACTACCATTCTTGCTTTTTATTGAAGAAATATGCTTTGTTTGCAAGAAAAGTTTTAAGTCAGTGGCTGAATGTATAACATCGTTAAACGTGCATGTATGTCTAATTCTGGAAACTCTTGGTTTTTGCCCAAGAACAAGTTGACACTAATTTAAAATGTGTTCGTAGTGTCATATGTATTAATCTAAGTAGACATTATAAGTGTGATGGAAAACTTTTAATCCATGCAGGACCATCACATTTTTATATAGACACACTACCACTTGATCTTTTCCTGTATATAACTCATATAGATGTATAGAACTCATACAGTTCTCTTCATGCATGGATATGTATATAAGCTAGGTCACACAACAGTTCATGAACGTAGTTAAAACTGAAATGTAGGGAATTTGGGGGCTTGAGCAGGGGACGTACAAACCTTGTTCACCATCTGGGAGTTACAGAACCAATTCATTTCCTATAGACTATAGCATTTTATCTTCAAACAGGTTTTGGTCAGAATTATAGAGCAAATATAGCATATTGAGTCCTGATTGGATCTCTGTACTCCATATCATTTGACACACAAGTGGATATTGTGGAGAGTATAGATATAGTACATGTAACATGTATATGAAGTTTTTAAAATGATACTCTATACTATATAGCAGTGTAAGTAGTGACAGTCCAGACATTTGACCTCTGCTTCCTCAACAGTTGTGACCTTGTAGGGGTATATACAGACATGTCAGTGTAGCGATAGACAGTTTATTATGACACATCAGACCTATTTATATATATCTATACATGTGACAAATTAGAACCAGACCAGTGTGAGGAAACTTACTCACTGGAACTGACTATTTGGTTAAAGATGTGTGGTAGGTACTTTTAAGTCACAATAAATTTGAGCTGACTGTTTGGTTATTATACTGTATAGAGACACAAACAGACTAGTGTGTGTTATAACGTGCCTAATTATACTGTATCGAGACACAAACAGACTAGTGTGTGTTATATAGCGTGCCTAATTATACTGTATAGAGACACAAACAGACTGGTGTGTGTTATATAGCGTGCCTAATTATACTGTATAGAGACACAAACAGACTGGTGTGTGTTATATAGCGTGCCTAATTATACTGTATAGAGACACAAACAGACTGGTGTGTGTTATATAGCGTGCCTAATTATACTGTATAGAGACACAAACAGACTGGTGTGTGTTATATAGCGTGCCTAATTATACTGTATAGAGACACAAACAGACTGGTGTGTGTTATATAGCGTGCCTAATTATACTGTATAGAGACACAAACAGACTGGTGTGTGTTATATAGCGTGCCTAATTATACTGTATAGAGACACAAACAGACTGGTGTGTGTTATATAGCGTGCCTAATTATACTGTATAGAGACACAAACAGACTGGTGTGTGTTATATAGCGTGCCTAATTATACTGTATAGAGACACAAACAGACTGGTGTGTGTTATATAGCGTGCCTAATTATACTGTATAGAGACACAAACAGACTGGTGTGTGTTATATAGCGTGCCTAATTATACTGTATAGAGACACAAACAGACTGGTGTGTGTTATATAGCGTGCCTAATTATACTGTATAGAGACACAAACAGACTGGTGTGTGTTATATAGCGTGCCTAATTATACTGTATAGAGACACAAACAGACTAGTGTGTGTTATATAGTGTGCCTAATTATACTGTATAGAGACACAAACAGTCTAGTGTGTGTTATATAGCGTGCCTAATTATATTGTATAGAGACACAAACAGACTGGTGTGTGTTATATAGCATGCCTGACTATACTGTATAGAGACACAAACAGTCTAGCGAGTGTTATATAGCGTGCCTAATTATACTGTATAGAGACACAAACAGTCTAGTGTGTGTTATATAGCGTGCCTAATTATATTGTATAGAGACCCAAACAGATTGGTGTGTGTTATATAGCGTGCCTAATTTAACTGTTTGATTATTATACTGTATAGAGATCTAGACACAAACAGACTAGTGTGTGTTATATAGCGTGCCTAATTTAACTGTTTGGTTATTATACTGTATAGAGACACAAACAGACTGGTGTGTGTTATATAGCATGCCTAATTATACTGTAAAGAGACACAAACAGACTAGTGTGTGTTATAACGTGCCTAATTTAACTGCATCCTAATAGTGTTCCAACCAATTAGGACCAGATTTTATTAGCAGTTCACAGTTGAGGTTTGACAATTTGGACAAACATTGCAGTGATTTGACATCTTATAACTTTCTGTGACCCTGATACAACTGCATGACCTTTGTTTCACTATGGTAATCATATCAGAAGGCCTTGTCATAACATATCAATTTAATTAAACAATCTTTAGTGGTTCAAAAATTATGGTCTGTAAACAAGCTCTGAACCACTTAATATATTGGTTGGTTTTACTGCAATTGGCCTGCGCGTACACTTAAGTACACTTAAGGACATATGTGCTCTATTCAAAACAGTGTTTCCGACATTTAAAAAAGTGTTTCCAACATTTAAAAAAGTGTTTCCGACATTTAAAAAAGTGTTTCCGACACATAGAAAAGTGAATAGATTAGTGTACATGTATTAATACAGTGTGGAGAGAACCAGTTCTACAGTCTCAATACAATGCATACTTAAACAATGCATTGATAACTAGGTCACACTGCATATGTTATGGCACATAGATATATAATGTATGTATACAGGTAAAACATGATGGATATACCATTAAAATTATACAAGTCTGAAAGAGATTTATGATAAATTGAAAATAAAACTTTGAAATTAATGATTTATGTGTTTTTGTAGTACACCTAGCCTATGGCATAATTTGACAATAAAAATATATAAGCTGTGAAATTGAATATTGGGTGTGTCTGTGTATAACAAATTGAAATCTTATAATCAAGACTAATGTAATATCATCTGCACCTCCTCAATGAGAACTAATTGTATAATATTGATATGCTAAACAAATGAAAAGAAACCTGAATACATGTTTGATGTTTGATGTAAAATGATAGTTCTATTATGAATTTTGATATATTTAGCCAAACATATTCCGGAGGATAGTGTGTAAGGGGCAGTGATTCCTTATAATGTGCATGAATTCAAAAACCTCATGGTCATACTGTTTAGAAATCAGTTCAAAAATGGAGAACTGCATAGCTGTACAAGTATATATTTTATCCTGGAAGGCAAAATTATTACTGGGACCTTATTATAACTTAATAAGGGGGGCACTAGACAGGGATTCAAACCCAGGACTTCAGACTGTTATACCTCATGCACTGCTCTTTCTCTCTCTATATATATATCAGGCCCATTATACTGGGCTACAGTTATGACCCAACAGAAGTTAAGGGGAGATTACTGTGTATATGAAAAACTACAGTGCAGTTGGACAGGGATAAATAATAAATGACTTTAAAAATTAAAAGAAACAATAGATATATGACAAAATGCATCTTAGAATGATACCGAATAACAGTGTCAATGGACTGATGATGCAAACAGTGTATAATGGGACATAATAAACTTATTTCATCTGACTGTCAGACAGTAATACTTATAAGGAGCAACAGGAAATAATATGTTGAATGTAAATATCCAAAGTTTTAAAGAATCAACTCAACAATGGAGAAATGCATTAGTGGATAGAGTGTAAAGGGGCATCATCCCCATAATAAGTGTCAAAATGACAAAAAAGCCATTCATATATATATACCTGCATGTTATTGTATTAATACATTTAAAGTAACAATTAAATAGGCTCATGATCATTAAGTCTATTAATGCACAACTGGACAATTGTTCACCAATATTGTCCAGCAGAAAAAAATAAAGGCTTAATTTAAATTATAAATAAATTATCATACATCAACAAAAATAACACAGAAAAGGCATTGCATGAGGACCTACCCAGTAATTGATGGAACAAGGACACTATTCATACAGGTACGGTTATATAGATCAAGTACAACAAACTCGGATAATTATACCATATTCTAAATTGAAGATTTTCAAATATTTGTATATAAATGTATGTAGAATCAAGATATGTCACTTTGAAATCCTGTAATCTTTAAGAATATCTATACCTGTTAGTATTTACCTTATTGATTTGATAACAGTTAAACATCTATATATACACGCACCATGCAATAACCACTGTCTCTATACAACATCCTTATGACATATCAACAATTATCTTACCGTAGTGGATGACTCTTAATAATAATAATAATAATAATATACAACATTTATATAGCGCCCTATATAATTTGTAAAATTACTCTAAGGCGCTTTACAACATATGGATAATGTAGTAATGGTTATAATAGTGAAAACAAAAAAACAAAGGCTTACAATCACTTTTATACATTTAAGAAGCAATGTGCAAATAATTGAACAAATAAAAGGTGGTATATATTTACATGACGTCTTTGCAAGGATTCTAAATGCAGACCTGAAGGAAATAAGATCTGCTGTCATTTTTGTTTTGAGCTAATCATTTCAGATCCACTGACACAATATCCTCATTCTATGACGAGTTAAACTGTGCTGTGTTATATATTGTCAAACACAATAGAATATTGAAGACTTTCAATATATGTCATGCATGACAACTATAAAAAGGTATTGTGAATGCATTATTCAAGATTGTCAATATATAAACACAAAAACTGAGTTGTACAACCCAGATGTACATTAATTAGATAAGATGTTGAGGAAATCATTCTGACAGAACAAAGAAATTACACTGGTACACATATGTACTGTGCATGTGTATGAAAAGGTCAAGATATTACATCACTATCATTGAAGTGACGGGCCAACATCATGGTCCTGGGGAGACTGTACATGTATGTATTTTAATTGAATCATACGTATACAGTAGCACTGAGACAGTGTTTGCATGATAGCAATTAATATCATAGATGTAAGTTGTATCTAAATATACAGTAAATACTGGTTAAAAAGCATTCAACTTATTAATCTGTGACCTAGATAGAAAATCAAACAATATTTTAATAAACAAGCCCCTACCTCAAATTGGTAGGGTACTACAACTTGTTGTATTATAGATGCATTACAGTCCAAACAACCATGTGCACATGTGTCTGTAAGTGTGTATAGCGCTGTATAGAGAATACCTCTGGAATCCTGGGCTGATCCTGTACAATATAAATGTATCTCCTTGGAGTCAGTGTTCACTACATTGTGCTATTACTCCTCAGTAAGACACCCCAGATATTATTAATGAGAAAACACACCAGCCCTCCCCCTCCTCTGTCATTACTCACGACTACTAGTGGTGACGTCCCAGCCAAAAACACACTAACCAGCCAGCCTGAGTCTCATCTGAATCATCAATTAATCAAACCCGGGAGACTTCACTTTAAAAAACTTCAAGTATATATTTAAACCATTAGCATACACAATGTATATATACATGTAGGTCGTATGATCAGTTCAATTAATCATGGGACACATTAATTTCAAATTCAAATTGAAAGAAACTTGCTTACATATAACATAGAAAGTGTTTGGTGTTGGTTAAACATCTATATGTACGACTGTGGTGGCCTGATGCACCTAAAGACCACAGCACAGCTGTACTGAGTATAGGGTGAGGAACAGGCTCCCCGGGGCAGCACGTCGGGCAGCACGTCGGCGCCTAGGGAGTTACAACTATTAAACCACTAGTCTTGAGATGTACACACTATAGCAATATGTTATGTGTACATGAAGCTTGATTGATGGACAATGGCAGTTACACAGAGATGATTAAAGCAATCACCCGCCATCATCTATATAACATGTTTTTGATTGAGGCATTGTTTTGCTAGAACTCAAAATGTTCAATCCATTATATATGTATTGTATAAATATGCAGAACTTTTATTAACATCTTGCAGTTTTGGTATAAACGTAAACACAAAATATAAAACAACAGAATATAGATAAACTCATTTGATCCATAAGATTATAGTAATTAATGTCTTTATAAACCTAATTTACAGTATATGGAGTGTCTGTATATATGCATGTAATACCTTGATACTCAAATTGTTTTTTATTTATGTCCATGGCCAGACAAAGACGTGTTTACATTTCATACAGATGACATACAGACTGTACTGTATAATGTAAAACAGTCCACAAAGATTTCCATTATGTGCCTGTGGATCTGATTAGCCTAGGTGTGATTGTTCTGTATAAAAGATTGATGACCTGCTCAAGTGATTACTGTATAACCTTGTCAGTGTCTACAATACAGACCTTCACCAATACACAGCTGTATTGTTATAAATTATGATATGTCTGACAGCTAGCTGTGGTTTGTTATGATCCTTTGCAAGAGTTATTCCCCCCTTATTTAGTAGCATCATATACATTGTACCAGGTAAATGCCTGCATGTGTACCGTTCAGATTCACAGTTACAGTATGTTGTGGCAAATTTTAATTTTATATATTTATAATCGTTGTCTACTTCTAGCTTCACACAAGAGAGAATTTCGTTTCAGCTAAATTGGTAGAGAGGTATAGACTAGGAATTAAAGCTAGTGGTTGCTGGTTTGAACCCTGCTATTTATTGTATATAGAAAAAAGGAAGTAAACTACTTTCTTTCGTAACATAACAAGTTGTCTATAGGCCTCCCTGTGGTGACAGGAGGTAATTAGAGTCTAGGTGGTACATGTATACTAAAGTAATTGTGATGTGTCTATATAAGGACAAACATATTGTAGAAGGGGGAAGCAGTATGGCAGATTTTAATTGTATATATATATATATGATCACAATTGTCTTCACACTAGCTAGATAGAGGGAGCTAGTTTCCTTCAGCTCACGAGTGGGTATACATAGCTAGCAGTGGATCCCCAGTGGAAGCACATGACTCTCCTGTTGCAGTGTTAATTTCATCTTTTTACACAGCATTTTACAATTTTAGAAAAAAAATCAAATTAATAATAAATTATTTAGTAGAAATTGTGGGGTATTACCTTGTATGGTTAACATGTAACAGTCCTCTAGATCTGGTTAAGCCACAATATACAGATGGTGTCTTGTTTGTCCTTCTTGTATTCATCAATAACACTTCAATGTATGATTATGTACACAGAAAATGCCTCAGGCATGCTATTATGATGTGAAGATAAAACTGTACCAAACACAATCTACATAATGGACTGATACTATGTAAACAGGGATGCTGATTAGTCCAGGTCAACACCAGTAATGAAGGTCCAGTGTCCATTACAGATAGATTACAGAACACTGTACACCATAAGTATACTTACTATATTCAGCATCACGCAATTAAGCGAAATAAGATCAAAATAATTGACAAAGAGGACACATATTACTAGAGTACTAGAAATATCTGAAAGTACATACTCCAAGTATTTACAAACAGTCACTGATCGTTTATAATGATATATATACCAAATGTTACAACGGCCTCAAAATTGTTTTTCCACCTCTATAGAAACCCCAATAATGGGTTACAATACATTATGTCATAGCGCACCCTAGGACATTTTTGTATGGCTATCATATGAAAGAGAACTCACAAGAAACTACTGACAATCCTATCTGAGTTTAACAATTGCTTTAAATGTTAAAATGCAAATAGGTTCATCTATATACACAATGTATAAATACATTAATCCTAGGATATGTACATGGTGCAACTAAAATACATGAGCATGTTCTGTTTAAAGTCAGTAACAGGCCTAGGCAATAGCTATAGGTTTCTTCTAAATATCTTATATGGTAGTTTGGTAATGTCTAAGAGAATTAAGCTTGCAATGTATAAATCAACATATGTTTCAGCATTTTCAGACTCAAGAGAATTATTTCATTATAAGAATAATATCTGATCATGACCTATTACAAACTAACTATCAGGTTCTGGTTGCATTATCATATCTCTTACTCATCTGAAATCCTCAAGGAACTAAACACTGGAGCTTTGAATAGAAAACGTACTGCATTTAACCTCTGGATCCAGGCAACTGCACATCCACTTGAATTGGGCCAGGCCTTTCAGAGACTGTATCCCTACTTCCAGAGACTACAATCAGTCATTTACCCCTCACTCAGAAGACACATTTAAATTCCTCCAATGCAAAGGTTGGAACAGTTCATTATGAAATTTCCAAGGTGAATGAGTTAACATTAGTACAAGTTACCGGCCAGCCTGATGAGGGACTGAATAATACCACCGCATAAAGTGAACTTCCTTGCGACTTTTAGAAAACTAAACATGATTGGTACTTTCAGAGGACTAAACATGATTGGTACTTTCAGAGGACTAAACATGATTGGTACTTTCAGAGGACTAGACATGATTGGTATTTTTAGAGGACTAGACATGATTGGTACTTTCAGAGGTCTTAAATATGATTGGTACTTTCAGAGGACTAAATATGATTGGTACTTTCAGAGGACTAAATTCAAACATGATTGGTACTTTCAGAGGACTAGACATGATTGGTATTTTTAGAGGACTAGACATGATTGGTACTTTCAGAGGACTAGACATGATTGGTACTTTCAAAGGATTAAACATGATTGGTACTTTCAGAGGACTAAATTTAAACATGATGGGTACTTTTAAAGGATTAAACATGATTGGTACTTTCAGAGGACTAAATATGATTGGTCCTTTCAGAGGACTAGACATGATTGGTACTTTCAGAGGACTAAACATGATTGGTACTTTCAGAGGACTAAACATGATTGGTACTTGCAGAGGACTAGACATGATTGGTACTTTCAAAGGATTAAACATGATTGGTACTTTCAGAGGACTAAACATGATCTGTACTTTCAGAGGACTAAATTCAAACATGATTGGTACTTTCAGAGGACTAAATTTAAACATGATGGGTACTTTTAAAGGATTAAACATGATTGGTACTTTCAGAGGACTAAATATGATTGGTCCTTTTAGAGGACTAAATATGATTGGTACATTCAGAGGACTAAATATGATTGGTACTTTCAGAGGACTAAATATGATTGGTACTTTCAGAGGACTAAATATGATTGGTACTTTCAGAGGACTAGACATGATTGGTACTTTCAGAGGACTAAACATGATTGGTACTTTGAGAGAACTAGACATGATTGGTACTATCAGAGGACTAAACATGATTGGTACTTTCAGAGCAATTGTATTTGAACCATGCATGGTCAATTTTGCCACAATGAGATTCAAACAGCTTTGGAAAGAAAAGAAAAATCACTAGAATCAGATTGGCAAGTTACATGCACATAAAATCAATTTTGAATTTAAGTGGGCAGATGTTTGGTTTTTTTTAATTTCAAATGTAAAAAATAATATGAATTTCAGAACAAAATTAATTCATTTTCATGCTTTATCATTTTTTTATTTATAATAGAAGTTTCATCAATCTGAAATCATTATTTCGTAGAATATTTTCACCAAAAAACACCTAAACATTTGTGAGCCGTCTTCTGAATCTATCAATGAATAGGGAATGGTAAGATTAATGTATTGTTCTACCTATACTTAAACCTAGTTTTTGTTTGTATCAATATATCAGCTATATACATGTACACATCCACGTTTACTCCTCTAACACTGGTCACACAAACTGATGGTCAATGCCTTGTTTTTAAATGTGTGAACTGCAATTTAGCTCCCTTACCTACAGCAGCCGAGTTTAAATGTGTATAGATCTAGATAAACCATACAAACGACTCCCTTTCTGATACCTTGAGCTTGCATGATAGCACGCATGTACACAGTAATCGAATGTGTTTGGTTTTCAATGAATTTATACAATGTATTTAGTCTGTTGTGCAGCGATCTGACAGCCTGGGGAATACCAACTGTACATATTCACAATCAATACGTATCTGCCTTCAATTCTTAATAAGTTCCATCTCAAGTGTACCCACACCAGTAATGTAATGATTGAAAAAAAACAGCAGAATTGATTCAGTGTTGCAATAATAAACTGCAGATGTCTTAGCAAATGATTTTTTTGCTCTCATTAATCATCAGTATTTTCTTGTTGTATAGATCTGATACAGTATGATTTTCAAATGCAATCACAGTAAAATTTAAAAACAACAGAATTTTACATTAAGATTTCCAATAAGGTGTTCCAGTTGCTTCAATTAATGTGCAGACTTAGTTAATGTTCGTTTTGTTTAATCATACAGCATTATGTAAAACTATGATGATATAAACTTATCTTATGTCAGCGTAGCCCAGACACATCATAAGTATC